TCTTGAATGTCGCTGGGAGCTGACGTGTGACGATGTTTATCCTTTCCTCAATGAAGAATTTCGTGGAAAGTGGCTGTCTTTTTCTGTCAGTCGCTTCCCACTTTGTAAAAGTAGCTTTTCTGTTGAAGGAATGCCATGTCAAAACGGGCTCTGGCACCATCTGAGTACCACACTGCCTCTCAGAGGGCTTGGCCTGGGCCCCGTGACCCCTTTCCTTCTGAGTCTCCCTTTGGCATGGGGATGTCTACCCCGTGCCTGCCTCGCCACTGTTTTTTTGGAAGCAGGTGACTTGCCTGGTCTCACAGGTTCACAGCTGGAGAGGGTGAATCATGCCTCGAGTCTTACCCACACTTGATTTAGACGGTACTTAGATGAGATTTTGGAGTTGGGATGGATGCTGGGATAGATTAAGACTTTGGGGCTGTTGGAATGGGGTGAATTTATTTTTCACGTAAGAAGGACAGGAATTTGGGGGTCCAGGGGATGGAGTGCTACAAACTGCATTGCGTCGCCCACTGAATTCAGAATGTCACAGGATTTGACCGTATTTGGAAATAGGGCCTTTAAAGAGGTAATTACTGGACTCGTGTCGGTGGGCCCTAACCCAGCAGGACTGGCGTCCTTATAAAGAGAGGAGGTGAGGACACCGATGTGCAGAGGGGACACCATTTGAGGGCAGAGCGAGGAGGCAGCGTCTGCCGGCCAAAGAGAGAACCCTGAGAAGAAACCAGCCCTGCCTGCAGTTTGGTCTCGGGCATCTGGGCTTCAGGACTGCGAGGAAGGAGACGTCTGCTGTTTACGCCCCCAGGCCGGGGTGCTTCGTCGCGGCCCCTCCCCTCTTAAGCTGCTAGCTCCGCAGCATTTGTCTGATGTGCCATCGGGATCAGCCCGCACCCTTCAGGGACTCTTTCTGGACTAAGTGAGGGATGGACGTGGTCTCCCTGCACCGCCTGCGCGGGCTGGCGCTCCTTGTGTGAGAATCTCTGCCCTGTGGGTGACGGCCTTGGCTTCTGACCTCCTGCCGGGCTCCTGGACTCTCACGGAGACACGCGGGGGAAGGGGAGAGGGACAGCTGGGCAGGAATTTCAACAGGAGTGTTGTCAGAAGGGATCAAAGAATGAGGAGGACACTCAAGGAAGACACAGGAACCAACCTGAAGGGGCCCCGACTGGCGACGCCTGAGGCAGCTTGTGAATGAAGACAGACGCTGGCGGTAAGGCGTGACAGCCTCCTGCCAGACAGCAAACCGCGGGTCCCTGCTGATGCCGGCCAGCGCGTGGAGCCGTGGGGAGTCTGAGGAACAAACCTAGTGCCCGAGTGTCTTCTCACCATTAGAAAAAGTGCAACTACAGAGTGGGAGAACCTGGCAGACGCCGTGCTGGTCAAGAGACAAAAATAAAGAGCAGCCGTGGGACAAGCTGGCGGTCGGTGCCCCCGACAAGGCGTGGGAACAGTGCGGTACGTGTTCCCTGACGTCCATGCCCAGGACCAACGCCTGACTTCCCGAGGGAGCCTGAAGCAAGGCCAGACTGAGGGACGTTCTAAGACATGAGAACTACACGTGTTTCTAAAGAACGTTATTGGTAACTTGAATGGAGTCTGAAGATTAAACGGTAGTAACGTTCCAGGGTGAACCTCCTGACTTTGATGGTTGAATTGTGGTCCATGTAAGAGGAGGCCCTTGTTTGCAGGAAATACACAGTATTCGGGGGCATCGGGGAATCGGGTTGGCAACTCACACGCAAGTGGCTCAGGAAAGAACTTATTTGTCCTGTACTTACAATCTTTCCGTAAACTCGAGGTTGTCACAAAACGTACATTTGTCTGATGTTAAGACAGGCTTTTTCAGTGATGCCAACAAGCCCGTGAGAAGATGCTCAGCGTCATTAGCCATCAGGCAAATGCAGATGAAAACCACAGTGCGGTCCCACTTCACACCCCCAAGATGACTACTGCCCCCCCACCCCGCCAAAGAAACAGAAAAGGAGCAAATGTTGGTGAGGATGCGGAAGAGCTGGAACCCCTGAACACGGCTGGTGCGAACGTAAAGTGGCTCAGAACAGGCACTCACATACAGGTGTGCGTGTTCAGAGCCGCACCACGCACAGCAGCCAAAAGGTAGGTGCACCCCAGGTGTTCAGCAAAAGCCAAATGGATAAAAAAAGAAAAAGTAATATGTCCTTATGATGGAATATTATTCAGCCATAGAAACGAATGAAGCGCTGATACGTGCTACAGTGTGGCTGAACCCCGAAAGCCTTGTGCTCAGGGAAAGATCTGAACGCAAAAGATCGCACGGTGTATGATTCCATTTAGATGAAATGTCCAGATAGGCAGACCCAAAGGGACAGAGCAGATGGATGGTTGCCAGGCTTCGGGGCGGGGGTAGAGACCTGCTTAGCGGCTCACTTTCATTTCAGAGTGATTGAAGTGTGTTGGAACAAGGTCGAGGTGGTGTTTGCACAACATGAGTGGACTGAATGCCACTGATCGTTCACTTTAAAGTGGTTAATTTGTTTATTGAAGATTTATTTGCAATGTGTTAGTTTCAGGTGTACAGCAAAGTGATTGGTCTAGAGATTATCATATTAAGTGAAGTCAAGTCAGACAGAAAAAGACAAATACCATATGATACCATTTCTATGTGGAATCTGGGGGGGAAAATGATACAAGTGAACTTATTTACAAAGCAGAAAGAGACTCACAGACATAGAAAACAAACTGTGGTTACCTAAGGGGCGGGGGGAGGGATAAATTAGGAGTCTGGGATTAACACATACATGCTACTATATGTAAAATAGATAAAATGGTCAATATGTGAATTTCATCTCAACAATTTTTTTTTAATTCAGGCATTTTGATGTAAGTGTTGTATTTTTTTAAAAAAAAGAGGAAGTGGTAAGATAAAACGCAGTGGCCAGCAGCTGGGGTCTTTAGAAACAGTATTGCCTATAACCGGTCCCAGAGGGTGGACCCACCGCGTCCTAACTGGACAGCTCGCTCTGTGTGTACACCGCTGTCCCCCAGCAGGGCGCAGAGAGCCGTGGCACCAAAGTCCACAGCAGAGGGAATAAGCCCTCCGCGGGGGAGGCAGCGCATCTAGACGCACGGCAGCCACTGGTCTGCTTGACGCTGGAGGATGCCCCCAGCCCTGCGGGATGGTCAAATAACTGCGGATAGGGTGAAAAGGGGTCTCGCTGGGAGGGGTGCATGAACTCATTCTCTTCCATCAAGCACATGACCCACTAAATTTGTGCTGACGTCTTTGACTGCATAGCGTGTGACGTACGGTGTATGCAGTTGAGATAACTTGCAGAACGAGCCGTATGTGTATCATTATCTCTGTAGACAGATGTTTCCCTGAGAGCAGGCTCCACAATTTGCGAAACGCAATGGCCAACAGCCTCATTTGCCGGGAGGGGTACTGTTCAGTGGTGGAGCGTGTGCTCAGCATGCACGAGTTCTTGGGTTCAATCCCCAGTCCTTCCGTTAAGTAAGTAAATATATAAACGTAATTACCTTCTCCCCACCAAAGAGACTGCGCTCTCCATAGAAACTACACAGTGGTTTGGTGTCCGGGGACTCAACAGCTCGTCTGTCACTTCTCCACTCTGCCAGGTTTCACTTGATGAAGCCTCAGGCACAGTCCCAGCAGTTTTGTGCCTCTGGCTCCGCAAAGAATAATTTACTGGTTCTGTTGGCACTGGAGTCTTTTTCCTTCAAATCTGAAAAGGCAAACTAAAAAGCAAAGGAGAACATCACAGATGAGTGTGGGATCTCCGTCCTCCGTCCCCTCACCCCTAGCCCGCCCGCCATGCTGGTCTGGGCCCAGGCGCTACCTGGCCCGAATACCCCCCCAGCCCCCCAGCCCTTCCAGGACCGGGACTTCTACTGCCCCTTCAAGTCATCAGTTTACGTCCCCATCCTCTAGGTGAGCCCACGCTCACTTCTAGGCTCCTTCCCTCCTCCCTTTGGAAGTTGGTGGGGGCGGGGCACGCTCACGATGGAGAACCTGTCTGCCTCCTCGGCGGCGTCTCAGGTCAGGAACCCCATGGGCCCCACAACTGGGGCCGACCAGCCGTCAAGGTCCTGTGCCATTTGGAAAACGAGTGGCTTGAAAACAGAGAACAAGTGGTTTTGAGAGCAGTGTTCACTAAGTGCAAAGAAACAGGTGAACAGACCCCGAAGGGCTTGCTAATAGCAGAGGGTAAAAACAGGGGAGGAGACAAGGGTAAAACTATGCAGAAGCCTCACGGCTCTGGGGGCGAGGGGGGCGTCCAGGTGCAACAGATGACCCAGACGGGGAGAAACGCGCCCGCGGGAAAGGGCAGGTGCGTGCAGCGGGGCGGGGAAAGGTGCTGAGCGCGACCTCAGCCCATGCCCCACGTGGAGCCGCAGCATCGCCCCATTCCTGTGTGGCCTTTGTCTTTGCTCCAGGTCCCCTGGGATCCCAGGGGTTGGCTGCTGTAGGTCAGGATGCTGGGGACCCGGGAGGGAGCCCACTGTCCCCGAGCCGGCCTTTCTGGAGGAGGGAGGTGGCAGGGCTGCTTGTCTCTGTGAAGAACCCCCTGCTTTAAAGCCCTCAATCCGATCGTCTCGTCTAAACGCCCTGTGGTCGGAGTGGGTTTTTCCTGCTGTGTGTAAGAGTCACGGGCGGCAGCGTGTTAACCGTAGTTCTCTCAGCGAAAATGCGTTATAATCCGTCTTCATTTTCTTTGTTGCAACGTTCTCTAGCTTCACGTTTTTCTTCAAAGGACATACCTTTTCATAATAAGGAAAAAAGTCATCTAAACTGTTTCTGGCTGGCAGAGGTCTGGCTGGAGGAGGGACAGAAAGGGGGAGGGGGAGGGCAGCGTGCAGGGTGGGGGTGGCCTGTGGCCTCCAGGTGTTCCCCTCTGCTCTTTCTGCCTTTGGTTCTCTGTGTCCCCTGTGATGATGGGCGAGCCGGGCTTGCAGAGACAGCTGCTGGGCGCCGGGACGGGGCACCGAGGGAGCCAGGCGGTCTGGAGGACACCTGGCGTCTGCCACACCTGGTGACCCCTCTCTGGTTGTGCTTCCAGGTGAGCCTCAAAGCAGGAGCCCCGAGTCAGCCTCTCATCTGACAGCTGCCAGCTGCCGTCCCCAGACTGTCCCCTGCCCGGACCTGTGACCGCGCTGCCTCTCACAGGTGAGGAAGTGAGGTGTGCTGTGCAAGGGCGGGTTCTCCCTGGGGAGCAGGTGCTCTGCCCTCAGCACGTGGGGGGGCTGGGGAGAGGCTGGGCCATCGGGGTCCCTGATGTGTGGCCAGATCTTCCCCCCAGCACTTCCTTCCTGCAGTGGTCACCACTCCCCCATGTAGCCTGTCTTACAAGGCACCTCTGGCTAGTTCCTGTTGTTTCTTGGTTTGTGTGTAC